CTACAGAGGAAAACCTACTAGTAAGGTTGCATACCCCATACGGGGGTTGTATATAATAAGTTTCAAGTTCCATGGATTCCATGATTATATATTTTTGTTAATGGTGTGTAAATTATATGTGGGCATAGTCGTGATAAATCCACTTGTAACAGCCGAATTGTTATTGTGAGCCCTTGGTCAACTTCCACAGCCAAGCGCCCCAGCAGGTTTATTTTTTGCTCAAAATCGTTTTGCCATCGCATCTGCAGTCTGTTTACCTTGCCATGGAAATGCTGTTAAACCCGCGAAGAATATTTAAGGACATCTTAAATACGGACTTGTCTACGGACAAGGTCTGATTATTTTTTGATCCAAGGTCCACGGGCCGCATTGAATGAACCTTTACGGAGGTACTGTCCACGGACAAAGTAAAAGTATAAGGACAGATCTGCACTTCGTCTTATGGACAGGAAAGTCATAGTCTACGGACTGACTTGCGGGTCTACTGACACATCATTGGTTCTGGTCTACGGACAGGAAAATCATAGTCTACGGACAAGATTTGAGAGTCTACGGACACATGCCGCGGGGAGTGTTTGCGGACAATTTTAAATGTGACTGTCTACGGACATGTGTGTTTCAAGACTTGCTTGAGGAAGCTGCTGCATTACAAGGAGTTCCAAAGAAAGTTGTGAGAGCCATGCAAAGGGCAGCTGAGGAACACAAGCTTCCTGCGCGCGCAGTGGATGCAAGCCTTGGCGATGCAATGAGCATCAATGTCTTGGCAAGTGTGTTGATGAAAGGCTTGACCCACTCTCGCTTAGTTCAATTCAGTGCACAGGAAGACCATTGGAGACTAGTTGCCAATGGTCCGGACGCTGCAACGCTGAGTGACCGTTTGTTCGACGGAACAGCCCGGCCGGGACCAGGTCCAAAATGAACCTCGTCACAGCTTTTTTTGGCAGCCGCATCAACGGAGGCGAGTAAGGAGACTGGGATTTCCCCAGTTCCCTTACCCACTCCCAGCCCAGGCCAGACCCGGGTAAGGATAGTAGGGAGTGTGCTAAGCATACTGGGACAATCGTCGCCCCATCACGCACGCAAGTTTTGACACTATCCTTACCCACTCCCAGCCCAGGCCAGACCCGGGTAAGGAGACTGGGATTCCCCCAGTTCCTCTACTCATGCCCGTTGGAGCGTAACAGAGCGTTGACCACTTGTCTTACCCAAGATCCCAGCCCAGGCCAGACCCGGGTAAGCAGCGCGACGTTTAGCGGTTGCACGCCCAGTGTTCTTACTCACTCAAGTCTTCATGATATAATAATTGATGATAAGATTTTACGATTTTATCATCACTGTTGCACGTCATATCCTGTCCCACCTGCTGCATTTCGAGTCCCTCTGTGACAGCCATGCCCATTGTTTGCCACTGTCGGCCCAAAGTGTTTTTGTAGGAACAGGAAGTGCTTGACAGACACTGTCCAAGTTGCTGGCCACTGCAATGACCGTAGCAGCCTCAGAGATCCGGAACATTTCCGCATGGCGCTTGAATAAGACTGAAATGAAAGAGCTCGCTGAAAGGGTTGAGAAAGGAGAGGACGAAGCGGTGGTGAAGAAGGAGCTTCACACCAAGAAGGCTGTGGCCTGCGAAGAGCGTAAGAAATCAGCTGCGGCGATTTCTGCCTAGCCTGGATCCACGGGCCCCAAGGCAAGCAAAAAGACTTCGTCGTCGCCTGCAACTCAAGTCAGCCACGGCTGCTGCGACTCCAGACCCAACGAATGCTGGCTACTACGCTCTGGTAGAAGCGGACCTCCAGACAATTTTGCAGGAGTTCCCAGGCATTGACCAGGAAATGCCTTTGCCGCTCTACAAGTCTGAGTTGGACGGATCCAAGACTGGGGTTCAAGAACCCTTTGACTTGTCCAAGGCTCAGCATGCCCTTGGGATTCATGGAGTTTTTCGTTGATTCATGACGCGGTGAAAATGAATTGTTGCTGCAGCAGTGGCCCACTTCACGACATGTATGGCACAGATCCATGGAATTATTTATTGAAACTTCACGTTTAATGGCACTTTCACGTTTAATGTGTATGTGTGTGTGTGTTTGGGTTCTACAATGAGCCAATGGTTTTATTACATTAACAACATGTATAACATATCTATGGGTTTTGTCTTTCATGTGAATTTAGTTGAGAAGATTGCAAAATAATTCCATATTAATGGAAACAACCCAAAATCATGGATGTACTATTATTGACCAATTAACATTGACAGTAGACTCATGGCTACTTAGAATGTAAAGGTTTTGGTTATATAATGTAACCAATGGGGTCACTGGGTCATTCTAGAACCATTGGGTCATTCTGGAATCCAAGAATGCAACCACACTTGGCTCCTTTGTTTTTTGCCCAGCCCACCTAAACCTAAGATTGTCATGACATGAACCACCAAGAGCTACCAAGCAACAGCTAAACAACGCCAAGACTATAGCCCAAGACTAGCGCGGGCCCGATAGCCCAAGACTAGCGCGGGCCCAGGGGCCCGCGGCGCCTTTCGCGGGCCCTCGGTGGCCTTTTCGGCTGCCGGGCCCTGCCCGCTGGCCTTCGCCTACCGCGGGCCCGCGTGCCCCGCGGAAGCTACAACACGTTGGACCATAGCCGACCATGGGGACACGACACACACACACAGACACACAGACATATATATATATATAAATACATACATATAGTTAGATATATGTATAAATATCAGGTTATGGGGTGTGCGAGGCAACGTGTAACTGGGGGCAGCACATTGTTGCAACGCGGATGGGGTTGATTCTGGTCTGTACATGTGTAGAACAGTGTGGGATTCACAAACGTGGTGTTTTGACCCCAGCATGTACCCAAAGCAACTGACTTAGGGCTATCCTGGTGCTGGAATCTTGGTGCAAAAAGTGGGCCCGCGGGGTGACTTCTTGCAAACGCGGCTTTAGAGGCGGACCTTGGGGGAATCGAAGGGGGGGGTTCAATATAGTTGTGATAATTATGTTCTAGTTATTATAGTAATTCTAGTCATTATAGGTGTTCTAGTTATTATACATGATAATTATATATATATACGAATACACATATATATGAAACATATTGAAATGTCATTAGCGAAGTCTTTTGGTTCAAGAGAATATCTTCGAGGAACCCTTGCGGAAAATCCACCAAATGATCTAGATATGCTGAGCAAGGGGCAGCGATTATGCTTCGGCAACCACTAGCCAAAGCGCAATATCCCACAATTGCTGGGTAGAGTATGCATATATATATATACGAATCTATATGTATATTGAGATTATTTAGTATATATATATCATGGAATTATTATGTGTATATATATATATAGATACATATCTTTAACTAGATTGTCGAAGGAAGTTGAGAAGCTAAACTTCCGACAATATGGACAGATGAAAAGCAGAGCAGGGCAGAGGCAGAGAGAAGAGAAAGTTCAGAAGAGAAAGAGTCAGAAGAAAGAAGATGCAGATGCGCGAAAAGGTAGGAAAGTCGCGATTCACTGTGTTTTTCCAATGATTTGCGGTTCCGGAGGGTCGAAAAGTAGGCTCGCTAAAGCGGCGGGTGCGGAGACATATGGGGAGATGAGACATGAAAAATTGCACGCCGTTGTGGCGCGAAGCACATTTCCAAGTCAAAATGCACAAAACACCAGAGGATCGGACCACTTTTGGCGCTTCAGATGTCGAAAAAGTGCACGCCGTTGTGGCGCGAAGCACATCCCCAAGTCAAAATGTACAAAACACACCAGGGTCTGACCACTTTTGGAAGTTGCGATGTCGAAAAAGTGCACACCGTTGTGGCGCAAAGCACATGTCCAAGTCAAAATGTAAAAAACACACCAAGTGCGGACCACTTTTGGCACTTAAGATGTCGAAAAAGTGCACGCCGTTGTGGCGCGAAGCACATTTCCAAGTCAAAATGTTAAAAACACTAGGGGTTCGGACCACTTTTGGAGGCTCAGAGGTCGAGTTTCGAAAAAGTGCACGCCGTTGTGGCACGAAGCACGTTTCGAAGTCAAAATGTGCAAAACACCAGGGGTTCGAACCACTTTTGGAGGCTCAGAGGTCGAGTTTCGAAAAAGTGCACGCCGCTGTGGCGCGAAGCACATTTCGAAGTCAAAATGTACAAACCACACCATGTTCAGACCACTTTTGGAGGCTGAGATGTCGAGTTTCGAAAAAGTGCACGCCGTCGTGGCGCGAAGCAGATTTGGAAGTTAACATGTTTAAAAACACTAGGGTTTCGGACCACTTTTGGCGGTTCAGATGTTGCTTCGCTTAACTCGACTACACTACATGACACTACACTTTGCTGCACTACACTCTCTCTACACTACACTTCACTACATTACACTACACTACACTCCACTACACTACAAATACAACTACAC